ATCGCTTGAGTAGGTTTGAAAATTCAGAATAGAAAAGATTTATTAATGGCAAAGCTGATTTATTTTTCTTAGCTTCACAGGTGACCCTGAAAACGGATTTGAAGACTATAAAACTGTACCAGGTTGCTTGCCTCTAAGCCATGAAATGGTAAAAGGGTTCATTCGCTGGTATGCAAATTCTACCCAGGGCCGACTCTACAAGAGTAGGAAGCTAATAGTAAGAATAGCTAAGGCGTGCGCGGAGCGACTCTTCGGTAGGTTTAAAGAGACTACCGGTATAGAGGTCACTGAAATAGATAGGAAAGAAATATATAGCGTGAGTCCTTGCTGTTATCTCACTATTTGTAGTAATACTAATATTCTCTTTAGGATATAGTGGATAAAAAATACTTTAACTAAAGACGGAAAAGTAGTAAATAAGAAAAAGTAGAAATATAACTTTATAAGGGAGGATTTTTTGAATATTGTCTCCTCGATGTGGCGGGTTAATCATAAGAGATTTATGCTTAGAAGACTTAAAAAGGAAAGAGAAATCTATCTAGTGGGGTGGTGTTTGGTATGTCCCCCGATAAAAACGCCTTCTCTTATCATCCCGATTCGGCCATGTTTGTTTCCATCCTCGAATCCCTAAACTAGCCCATTCGCGTCCAGATCGTCACAATCATCGGCGTTTCTATCTTTTTATAATCAATCATTTCACCCCCCATTATGACAGAGGAAGGTTCCCCACCGGAACGTGAAGGCAAAAAAAGACGACCAGCGGAGAAATATAGCCTAAAAGAGTAGACAACTTGTCAGTCTATAATCTATATATCTATATTCATTATGATTAACCTTCACCAGTTCCTGTCAGGGGTGAGAGGCCCTTTATGAAAGATTTTATGGACCTATGGTGCATGAACTTTCCGAGTCGAGGAAACAGTGTGCATCTCCGCAGGCACGAATCCATTCCGACAGCTACCTACTCCGTACGGGGGAGGGGAACATCGGTTAAAAAGGAGTCAATGTGGAGTACTCCGACAGCTTTTAAGCAGGAGTGCCCGGCTAAACAGGAGGCAAATAGTGAACTACATGATTACTAGACCGCATTAATGTGGGGTTGCATTAAGATACAGTAGTGTGACGAATTTACGGAGTATTTTAGTTTTTGTCAGAGCAAGCTAAAACAGTATAAACTACATAGGGTGCCACAAGTCTGTTTACACTTTCTGCCCGTAGACCCCCACCGCTCCCACCCCATCTTTTTTCAACCACCTCATTTCATTCAACATGGCTTCGTTTCGCTCTGCAATTGCTGGAACTCGCCCTAAGAACGCTCAATTATCTGATACAATTCGTTCTGCTATTATATACGCCCACGAGTCGCATGAACAGCCCACTCAAATCGCATCTCGCTTAGGCATCTCGCGCCAAACAGTATACAATACTATTAAACACATTCAATCTACTGGTACACTGCAGTCTAAGCCTAGATCTGGCCGCCCGTCGAAGCTTACGCCCACTGAGCGCCGATATATCTTTCGCTTGGTTCACCGAAACCCGGTTATGAGCTACAAAGCTCTAATCAACGAAACAGGTTATCGGCTATCAAAATCAACACTCCGGCGTGTTCTAAAGAAGCTCGATATTCGCAAATGGGTCATCAAGAAGCGAATATTATTAAAAAAGCAAGATGCAAAGAAATGAATGGGTTTCGTTAAGAAATGGGCGAATTGTGACGATTTCAGCAATATCATGTTTTCCGATGAGCGCTCGGTCCAGCGAAAATCCAATTCTATCCACCAATACGTATTCTCATTAAAACACGAGCGATATCGGAAGAATCTTGTCAATCTTGTCAGCCATGGCAAAGATATTCGGCAGATGGTATAGGGCGCTATCTGGCTTGGTGGCCGTTCGAAGCTCATTATTATGGAACGCGATGAAACCTCACCGAAGAACGGTTATACAGCTAATTCTTATATTCAAGCACTCGAAGATGGACATATACAACATTACGAATCCGGTACTATCTATCAGCAAGATAACGCAAGGATTCATACAGCAGAAACTACACAATTGTGGTTTGAATCTTATGGTATATGGGTGATGGAGTGGCCGCCGCATTCGCCAGACCTTAATCCAATTGAGAACGTGTGGAACCTACTGAAGCAGAAACTAATTGATTTATATCCTCAATTAGCCTTCCGAGGACGCTCTAAGATAGATTGGAATGAATTTTGCAAAGCGCTCGAGGTTGCATGGGATTCAATTGACCAGGCCAAGATTAATGCTTCATTCTATCATTACCACGCAGAATCGCTGCGGTGAAGAAGGCAAAGGGCTGGTATACTAAGTATTAATATATATTAATGTATTAATTAGTTGATATCATTATTATCTAGTCAAAATATTATCGTGTGGCTGATGGAATCGATTCTGAGTGGGTGATTTTTTTCCGTGGGGGATTTGGAGTGTCAACACAGACTTTTGGTACCCTATGTAGTATGCATTTAATGGAGAAATATGTCAAGGGGAACCAATTGAGAAGGATTGAAAAGATTGAATTGATTGAAGTAAAATCGAGAAGGTCCTGGAGGCATGTTAAATACCCATCAAGTTCATGTTGAATGCCGCAGTACCTGCGAGAAACTCTGAAGGATTGCTGAAAGATCCCGTGGTTACATACAAAAGAAGTGCCGAATACAGATGGGGCACAATACCGCTAGACTAAAAATGCACCATGGGCTACATTCTTAGTCTATACAGTCTTTTATTGTTCCGACAAGAAGCAAAGAAAGCGGAAGCCGGGACAACCAAAAGAAGTTAGCGGTAAGTATCGGCTCCACTTTCCTCGACAGTTTTTATCGCCCATTTCGGTCAATGTATTATTATTAAGGATCTTTAGATATCTAGATCACCTTAAAGACTACTCTTTACGCCGAATCCTTAATCGTGGACATATTATTTTGATAGTTAAGAGTGGTAGATCGGGAAATTTCTTATAGATTTCCCTATAAGACTGTCACGGGCCAGTGCCCGATATTGGTCACGTGTGCCACGAGACCTTGGCATGTTGACATGGAGAACACGCGCAGAAAACTTCTCCTCTTCAAGCTTTTTGTACACAGTTTGTGGCCTAGTTAGATTGAATTTAAGTCTTGCTTCAGCCCTTCACATACAAAAAACTTCCGATTCATAATCGTTAAATTGACGAAACACTCTCGACACGAGTCGATTGAGTAACGACGAACGACGAGCGATCGGACCCTTAACACTGAGAGGAGTCACTATCGAAACGCAGACGAAGAGCGATCGAAGGACGACTGGTTCGCTACTCCTGACACTATGCAGCATCAGGAATCGATGAGCCCCCCAGCGTGGGCGCAAACACTGCTACAGCAGATAGCACAGACCCAGGCTATGCAGAACGAAGAAAGGGAGCGACGTAACCAGCAAGATGACAATCGTTCTTCTATCGTACTTTTCCCACGATGCATGCCAGTGGCTCATAACGCTACCTATACATTCAGATTCCTTGTGATGAATTACAGACGTGATTTAGCTACATCTGAAGCCCCATGTCCTGCGTCATCCTTTAATGCCTGTTCAACAAGCTTGATAGCGTCCTTGGCCTTCGGTCTTGGCAAGGTTGATCGTCCTTGAGGACCAGGGTCATTGAATAGACCCACCTCTCGCCACCCACCAATATCCCCAATTTCAAGCACTGTTCCGGAGGGATACTTCGAGCTCGTCACTAGTGACATCATGGCTTTGACAACCTCCTCAGGCGGAAGAGTAAAGTCATTATCCATATCTATGTGCTGGCGAGCTTTAGCGCTATCGCGGAACAGAGGAGTGTCCACGACTCTGTCATAATGCATATTAGCGAAACTATCACACTTGAATTTGGAATGTAGAATTGCTCACCCTGGTGCAACAGCAACAACTCGAATACCAGCTAGCCCATCCAAAGGAGCCATGCACCTCACAAACTGACTGATGGCTTGCTTCGAAACCGAGTAGAGGGGATTGACGACACTAGGAATCTGCGCCGTAATGCTGGAGGTATGAACGATGACGCCTGACTTTTGAGCACGACGCAGTCTTCGAATAGCAATTCTTGACATCTTGATAGGATGCATGATGTTTACGTCGAAAACTTTGTAGTGTGATGCAGAGTCCAGATCTGCCCAGAAACTGTTCGAGGAAGGCTCGTAGACTCCAGCTCCGGGAACAATGATGTCGGGGGTTCCACCAAACTCTTTATCGAAGGCATCGAAGGCCAATTCGAGATGTCTCCAGTCTGTAACATCAGTCTTGTGGAATCGGACTTTCGGAGAAGGCTGACTTTCGATGCTTTGGAGCCAATCTTGAGCAGAGGCGTGGAGGGTAAGGTCCGCTAGGAGGACGGAGCATCCATTATCGTACAGCGCCTTTGCGAATGAAAGACCAATTCCTGGTATTTGGTTAGCAGTGCTTGATTGCTGCATTGCAGAAGACTCACCTGAGCCGCCACCAGTAATGATCGCTTTCTTGCCGCGTGGATCAAGCGGAGGCATTTTCAATTGAGCTGATTTCTGTAGCTGGTCTTTAGGGTTTTAAGATAATGTGAATTGTATGGAGATCCCGATCAAGACCTGAGATTTTCTTGCAGGGAAATGCTCAAATAAAAGCTAATCGTTGAGCTTGATGGTTACAGATTGTATAGGTGCTGCAAAGCTCCACCTGGCGGTGTGGAGAATTCCGCGGAACAACATCTCGGAATCAACAAGGCGTCTTTTGCGACCAGCAAATTAGCTAACTGGCCTCGGGTTATTATTGACCCACTGATTTTTTATGCGCATTCCCCGGATTTTGATGCTTAATATGCATTGAATCTGTAACATTGCCCGGAAATGTATCGCCTGTGACCCGGACTTGTTCCGCGACCTAGCCGGTCATATAGACTGGACTGCCCGCAAGCCCCGAACCCATCCAAAACAGCCATTCGTTATCCTTTTTTCATCCAAGAAACGAGAATGGCTCAAAATTTGAAATGCCAATCCTCTACTCCGGCAGGGCTCCCAGTTACAGCCGGAACACCATTCAAGATTGACGAAAACACACCTGAGTTGTTCCGACCATTGACCATTCGCTCTGTCACGCTTCGAAATAGGATATGTGTTTCGCCGATGTGCCTTTATTCCATTGCATCCTCAGGACCTCTGACGGGTGTAATGACACCTCTGTATATTACCACGATCGGCCACAACGTTTTCAAGGGAGCCGCACTTGCCATGATTGAGGCCACAGGTGTTCAGCCAAACGGACGTATCACTCCACACTGTCCGGGTCTTTGGAACGATGCCCAACAGCAGGGTCTGAAACCAATCGTGGACTTCATTCACTCTCAAGGTGGTCTTTGTGGTGTTCAACTGTCGCATGCCGGAAGAAAGTCAAGCACACAACCTCCTCTGGTCGCGCAGCAGCTGGGAAAGTCGAGCGCAAGAGCTTTCAAAGAAGATAACGGCTGGCCAGATGATGTGTTAGGCCCTTCTGGCGGTGTTGAACATTCATGGGATGGAAAGGGCCTTGACTATCACGTACCCAAGGAGATGACAGAGTTTGAGATCAAAGAGCTGGTGTCAAATTATGCGAAGTCTGCCGAGAGGGCCGTGAAGGCTGGCGTCGATGTAGTTGAGATTCATGCTGCCCACGGCTATCTCATGAACCAATTTCTGAGTCCTGTCACTAACCGCCGAACAGATAGGTACGGTGGGAGTTTTGAAAACCGAATTCGTGTGTTGCTGGAGGTCATCGTTGCAGTGAGAGCAGTACTTCCTGCAAGCATGCCTGTGTTTGTTAGAGTCAGTGCGACCGATTGGCTTGAGCACACCGAGGTTGGAAAGAAGCTTGGAAGCTGGACGGAAGAGTCAACTCTTCAGCTGGCTAGGCTGTTGCCGGAGCTAGGTGTCGACCTCATCGATGTCAGCTCAGGAGGAAACCACCACCAAGCCAAACTCACCGTGTTTGATGGTGGCGAGAAACATACTGAAATTTCTCTGAAGATCAAACAAGTTCTCAAAGCAGAAGGAAGCAAGTTGCTGGTTGGAACCGTCGGTTTGATCACTGAAGCGAAGCAGGCCCGGGATCTGGTGCAGAGCGGTCTCCGAAGAGGGCCTGGAGTTGATATCATTTCCGTTGGCCGGCAGTTCCTCAGAGAACCGGACTGGGTTTTGAACGTCGCTTCAGAGCTTGGGGTGGATGTTGCTTGGCCGGTTCAACTTGAACGCCTTCGGCCTGGCCCTGCATCCCGGATCTAGAAGAAACGAAAGAATTCAAACTGGATAATAGGACGGGTTGTAAATGAAAAGATTATGTGGTTTTCCGGGGTAAAATTTGATGTCATTAACAGAAACTCGGTTCTTGTCTTTACTCTCATCCTGACTATCCTGCGTAGCTTCTACAGTTTCTGGCTTGTTTCGCCCAATCCGTATATTCCACACTAACATAATTTAGATCTAGACTGACCTCGCTTTTTCACAAATATACAAATATTTCAAATTTAACTTCCTTTCCCAATTGCTGCTTCTAAGCTGTCACGCCTCTGTCGAGTCAAGCCTATTCCACCATCTCAACCGACGGACCGTTTGAGTTTTTGTTGTCATTTCCAACCTCATCCGCATCATCCAGCTCACCAATATTCAACTCCCGCTGATACACAGCAACCATATCCTCGTCACCAAACATCCCCGCAATCTCCTCAAGAGGCTTATTCCGAGTATCCTTGAACCAAATAATGACTACCACCGCCGCAGCACCGGGAATGCATGTGAATACAAGATACCAGCGCCATGAGATGGTACTTATGGCATAAGGGGTAGCCTGTAGCCACATTAGGTTGGTAGCTGAAAGGACAGCCATAGCAATTGCAAATCCTTTGGACCTGACATGCGAAGGCCAGATCTCAGCAATATAGAAATATGTTGGCCCATCCAAGGTGAGTGAGAAGGTGGCTTGGAAGAGAAAAATGATAGCGACACAGGCACCTAACCCTGCGCGATTCTCGGTACCAAGGTAGAAACTCTGCAGAGCAGTTAAGATTCCGACCAGTGAGCCGCAGCCCAAAAGGCCACCGGCAATAAGCCAAGGGCGGCGCACGCGGTCGACGAAAGTCATGGCGATGACGTTGAAGACAAACCCAGCCAGCTGAAAGCCGCACTGGAAGTTAAGGATCTGCACCGTGTCAAACCCGAGAGATTTCCAGATAATGGAGCCATAATCTTGGAATGTCAGCGACATACCTCGGAAACATAGTTGGAAGAACAGGTGGAGAAAAAGAGCTTGACTTACTGAGGATAACCAAAACACCTGAGCTCATCAGAGCAAACTCGAGAAAGACGGTCATTGCCAAGCGCTTCCGCATAGAGCTTTTTTTGAGAATACTCCAATATGATGTAGCGAACTCAGCGTCAAGTCGGATCTGTTTCTTCATCTGGAAGAATTCTCGGCGAGCAAACTCATGCTCCGGATCATCTGGGCTAGAATGCATACGGAAGATGATGTGACGGGCTTCTTCGACGCGATCTGTGGACAACAAGTATCGCGGCGATTCGGGCATCCAGTATAAACCAGACAAGATGATAACAGGTAGTGCCATCTGAAGTGCGATAGGCCCGCGCCACTGATTGCTGCCTTTGACAAAGTAAAATCCGAGACCAACGTAGCAAGCAAGTGTATAGCCAACCATCATCATAACGGCATGCACATCAGTCAGGAATCCTCGGAGGCGGGGTGGGACTAGCTCAGCGACCCAGATAGGGACGCTGGCGAGAATGACCATGGAGCTAGAAGCCAAAAGAAGAAAAAGTCAGGAAAATAAGAACCAGTTTCACTTGTAATTTCTGTAGCATACCCGAAACCGCTCACGAAGCGGAAGGCAATAAACATGGCCGGGTTGATCGAAGCTGTCATACACGCCCCAGAAATGACTAGCAGAGCATTTCCAAAACCTGTTGAGAACTTGCGACCAAATTTTTTGCTGCTCCACCCTGCAAAGAAACTCCCAAGCACGCCTCCGGTGTAGAACAGCGCATTCATTGCACCTTCAATGGACTCGGCATTCGGAGCTGTGTCCAGCTTCATATGTGTTATGAAGGATGGCTGTGTGAGTGTAGTTGCAATGACAGAGCCTGCATAGCCATAAGCAGCAGAGCTCAGAGTGATAAAGAAGACAACAGCGGCAGTGTATACGTTGACATGTTGCTTTTTGTTGAATTGATCGTCTCGACTTTGTAGGGTTTCACTGGGTCCTAATTGCTTGAGCTGCATGGTTTCGATTGATAATTTGATAGATTGACTTGACTATGACTTGTAAATTCATTGTCGCCCTTCAGGCTACGAAAATCAGTTTCATAAATTCAAAAACTCATGACTGCATATCCAGGCTGTTTTTTTGAGATCTACGGTTGCTGAATTCCATATTTCCGAGATTTCTAGTGGCTGAGGGAGATAGCCTTGCGTCATTTGCCAGCTCCATCGTATCCCCGCATTTCCCCAGATTGTGGCTTACGATCCTTCCGCGGAATTTTGGTGCTCGGAACGACGTGGAGCTCAAAGAAAATAAGATTTTTTCCCTTGGGCTAGGCCTAACAAGCCATGGCAGATTGTGGGGTAAGTGGTAGCGCGTACTTGACAAAAGACTCCAGATATGCCGAGCTGAAGTACTCCGCAAAGTGTGGTAAATGAGGATATCCGATAGGTAACACTAGGAATATTGAAATAAGAAAGCTAACCTTGGAAGAAGGAAGCCAAATATCTTGAGCAAGTAGGACTATGAATGTCGAGGCCTCAGGAGTCCGGAGTACCAGCATCTTCAGCAAAAGAAATCTGAACACAATTTATTGGGATTCAAAATTTCAATAATTGCCACATTCTATTGGAAACATTCTATATACTTAAATACTTCCACTTCAGCTTGGACTCAGTATACCACTATCGGCCAAGAACATCGTGCCTTCAAAATGTTGCCTTGATCATCTTGGCTGCTTCAACTGGAGGAAGGAACCAACTGTCGAAGTATTGGTCTTAGTCAACACTGTTTATTTCATCATTTCATATTGAGGCACTCACGTCAAATCCGCTTCAGTCTTTTCCTTACACTCCTCGACAATAAATCCATTACCTAGCCAAGCAAAGGTAAGATCCTCATCATCGCACAAGCTGGACCAGTCAAAGTCTTCCCAGCGAGGATGTTTCAGAAGCTCGAAATAGTGCAACCTTGACCCCGGATGAAGAGAAATCAAAGGACCGCCTGGCTTGCCATTCTTGTACGTGGATGCACAATTGGAACTCCAGGCAGTCTTGTCTAGCCAGGCCAGAGCCTGTCGTTGATATGCACGAGGGATGTGTGGCTTCGGCACCACGGAGCTATAATTCTCTGTTTGAAGCTTGCGGACAAATTGAGCAATGTACTCAGTCACGCGCTCGAGAGAGCTGACCACACTACCATGTCCAAGGGGGCTGCCCGGTCCAAGGTAGATAAAGAAATTGGGCATATCGGCGGCAGTGACTGACAGATAGCACTCCGGGTTATCATCCCATTTCTCCTGTAGATTGACGTTGTTGCGACCTATGATAGGGAAGCGAGGGGAGAAAGACATATTGAAACCCGTGGCGCAGATAATGGTGTCCACATCTCGTTGCGCACCATTGGCCGCTAGAAGACCGGTTTCGTTGAAAGAGTCAATTCCTCCCCAAATTATTTCGACCTTGGGGGAGCAGAGAGCCTCAAGATAGCCATTTCCTGGTGTCGTGCGACGACAGCTGTAGTGGTCATCCTGTTAGCCAAAGCAGTCCATGGGTGTATTCAGGAGCTCAACTCACCCAACGGCGAATTCCGGAATCAAGTTCTCGCCAATCTCTGGCTTCGAAGAAAGCTTTTCGGTCATTTGAGAGATAGAATATTCGAGGGCCTCCTTTTGGGCATCGGAGTCTTTGAGGTAGAGGCGGAAACGGGAATTTAGCTCTGACTCGACCTCCTTCCGATACTGGAGATATTCATCGGGATTTTCGGCCCAATGCTTCTTTTGTTCCTCCGTAAAGAAGACATTCGCACCATTTGGACCAGCACACTTCTGAGCAAAGCTGGCTGTCACCCATGTCTTGCTGCGAATATAGACATAGACCTTTTCCACATCATCAAGGATGTTAGGAAGAATCTGGACACCCGTGCTACCATTGCCAATCAATGCTACCGTTTTGCCTTTGAGCTCGGCGATTTTAGGCCAAGCAGCAGAATGGATCATTTGACCCTTGAAAGTTTCCCTTCCAGGAATAGTTGGCCATTTCCAGTCATTGAAGCAGCCTCCGGCGTTGATCAGCACATCGCATTCTTCAGTAAATTGTTCTCCAGCTTCCCCATCCTTGTTGACCCGATTGCTGACCATCAATTCTCTACCATCGGTTGCGACAATGTTCACTTGCCATTTCTGGCGCTCTTCAATCCATTTAGCTCCGATGATTTTGTGAGAGACTTTAACGTATTTCCGAAGATTATGTTGATCGGCGACCGCTTCGATGTAAGTGTGGATGTCTTTCCCGGTAGCATAGTAGCTTTTGAAGTAAGGACAGGGGGCCCAGGAGTACTAGAAATTTGTGAGAAGAGATAATATACCAAGCAGAGATGCATGCTGTACCTGGTAGTTATGGACGGGAATATCACAGCTATAATCCTAGTTAGTATTTACTAGATAGTAGGGAAGAGTTTCATACGCGCATCTTTGCATAAGTCAGCACTCATAATCCATCGACAGTTTTATTGGGGTAGAAATAACATACCCAGGATAACGATTCTCGTACCAAGTTCCTCCAACAGAGGCGTTCTTTTCGTATACCGTGAGACTCACGTTCGGCAGATTGCCTAGTTCGACCTCTCGTGCAAATGCTAAGCCACTGAAACCCGCACCAACACAGATCACTTTCAATGCTCGAGGAGCACCTAAAGGTAATCTTGAAATGGCGTATGCAACGTCATCTACCTCTTTGTAAGCCTCTGTTGCTTCTCCCACTGAAACATTGGGCGGTAAGATCTCCCTGTATCCTTTGAGAGCATCTTCTTGCGCTTGGTCGGGCATGATGAAAATTGATCTTGCCTATAGGTGGATATGGCGACAGAACAAAACAAATTTAATTCTTCAAATTGATTCAAAATAATCACTAGATAGAGCATGTTTATAAATGCTTCGGCCCAACTGAACATGAAGCTGTTGGGTCCGCAGTTCCGAGACAACTTGATACGATGCATTGTAAATGACGGTAACAGAAAGCCCAATTACCGCGGTGCCGAACTCCGCAACACCATTCCGGCCCCCAAATGTGCCAGGAAAAATACAATTCCGCGGAATGACGATTACTAGGGGTAAGAAAATAACAGCCCCTGCAGAAAATTCATAATTAATTCATATTCGATAATCGTAGTATAGTCTTGTTTTCAATTTCCCCCTCATTACTCCTCGTAAGCAGAATGTTAGGAGGAACTGGGCATGTTCTTCAGACTCACCCTGTGAAGATCTCGCCTTGGCGTATCTTAGTCGGTCATGGCGCCATTACTCAAGCAGTCCTCGACCACGAGTATCCAGGATCGGGCACCGAAGAAGACCCCTTTGCGGTGACTTGGATCCCGGACGACTGTCGGGATCCCCATTTATTCAGCTTTCCCAGAAAAATATGCATCATGCTTGTGGCCGCATCTTCGACTCTGATCGTCTCCTTAGCATCCTCTGCGTACAGCGGAAGTCTCGATGAAATTATTGCCGATTTCAATGTCTCCACGCCGGTCGCAACACTCGGCTTATCGTTGTATGTCCTGGGCTTTGCGATTGGTCCGTTATTTTGGGCTCCTTTGAGCGAAGTATGCGGTCGCCAGATTTCATTTTTTATCAGCTTAATTGGCATGGCCGCATTTCTGGCTGGCTGTGCAGCAGCTCCAAACATTTGGTCGCTATGTATCCTTCGTTTCTTTGCTGGCTCTTTCGGCTCAGCGCCGCTGAGTAACGCTGGAGGGACTATCTCGGACTTGTTTACAGCCAGACAACGAGGGCTTGCCCTAAGCTTATATGCCGCCGCCCCATTCCTTGGCCCATCAATAGGCCCTATCATTGGTGGCTTCCTTGGTATGAAGGCAGGTTGGAGATGGGTGGAGGGTTTCCTCGCCGCTACTTCTGGCTTTGTTTGGGTCTTGACGACACTCCTGATCCCAGAAACATATGCGCCCGTTCTTCTGATTCGACGAGCAGAACGTCTCTCGGAGATCTCGGGCAAAGTTTATCGAAGCAAAATCGCCTTGCAGAAAAGCCAACTGCCATTAAGTGTACTGCTTAGAAGATCTCTATCCAGGCCACTAGTATTATTATTTAAGGAGCCTATCGTTATGCTCTCTGCGACGTATGTCGCCATCGTTTACGGAACGCTATACATGCTCTTTGCTGCATTTCCTATCGTGTTTGAGGATATCCGCGGATGGAACCCTGGCGTGGGCGGGTTAGCATTCCTTGGAGTTATGGTTGGTATGATTATCGGTATTATTTGCACAATTCCTGCCAACTTTCACTATATGAAGGTCCAGCATCTTCATGAAGGATATGCACCTCCAGAGACAAGACTTATCCAGTGCATGCCTGGCGCGTTGACAATTCCCATTAGCCAATTTTGGTTCGCATGGACAAATTATCCCTCCATCCATTGGTCGGTCTGCATAATCGGCACGGCTCCGTTTGGATTTGGTGTGATTTTGATCTACCTCGGAATCATGAACTATCTCATCGACTCTTACACCATTTATGCTGCGTCCGTGCTGGCGGCTAATACCGTGTTACGGTCGATATTTGGAGCCATCTTTCCTATCATTGCCACATGGATGTATGACGGAATTGGCATTCACTGGGCTCCGTCGATCCCAGCCTTCTTGTCGGTGCTCTGCATGCCATTCCCATTTCTGTTCTACAAATATGGTGCCTCCGTCCGTCAGCGGTGCAAATATGCTGCTGAGTCGAATGAACACATGCAGAAATTAACGGAGAACACAATCCAAGAGAGAAAAAGGGTACCCAAGGGCCAGGAGTCAGATATAGTTGCAGAGGAGGGGGCTGAAATAGACAGAATAGCTACACTGTAGTGAACCGAGCTGGCACCACGTTCATTGCTACAGTGCGCATTCCCAGGTCCACTAGAAGTGGACTCACCAGGGGACGCTACAAGAATATACAGATAGACCTACATAGACAAATAGAAATTTCGGAACTTCAAAACAAACCTACGACGGTGATTAGTGCCACGAGGGATATAACACCCTTAGGCATACCTATTCTTCCCCTACCGCTTTTCTATATCATTATCTGCCCTGTCTGCTTCGACCCTGACCACGGAGTCAATTTAATACTCTTAGAAAAGAGGATATTTCTTGTCTCCTTAGGTGTATTTCAAGCGTTGCTTGAATAGTGTTTTAGAAAGGGGGTAAAAAGTCGTCTAGAAAGACCTTCATCAAAATTTCTAGGAAGAGGTTAACTAAGATACACTGAAAGAACAAAGTCGTTAGCCCCCCTTATATTATCTTGCCTTTAAATAGAAAGTAGATAGCTTAGAATTATGACGGAAAAAAATTGATTTTTTTTCCCGAGTGGCGTTAACGACCGCCGTATCCGTCCGTATCTGCCTGTACTACGGAGTACGGAGTACAGTTGGCGCATTAGTCCGAGCGGTACATAGGGCCACTGGGGAAATTGCTACGTCAGACCCGGGCCCAGAACTTTTGCAATTCATTGGCAAAATAACGGCCAATTAATAAGAAATATTTGAATGATCGAAAAGTATACGATTGAAAGACGCTTTATTTTTCTTAACACGAGCTGCGGTCATATCGCAATGCCGCCAGGTGTCCCGCATCGACTGTAACCGATGACCCAGACATATAGCTAGCACCACAGCCACTTAAGAATATACACACATCAGCAATTTCCTCGGGTATAGCGAGTCTCTGCCTTCCATTTCCCTCCACAGCCCATCCCCTGGACTTTCCTGGTACAGTAGAAGTCTTCCTAGCCGCAACCATGGGTGTCTCAGTCATACCTGGACACACGGCGTTGATACGAATCTCTTGCGGGGCATGGTCAATAGCTGCAGATTTTGTGAGACCGATGACAGCATGCTTTGAGACGTTGTATGGCATCATATTTTGCAAGGCAGCAAATCCAGTGATGGAGGCAATATTGACAATACTTCCTCTCTGTGCTCGAAGTGGGTTGTCGATTCCCGGGGTGCAGGTAGGGTTCTGCTTTTGCATCACCTGTATCTGTTCCTGCATACAGATCAAAATGCCCTTTGTGTTGATTTCAAGGATCTTATCGTATTCTTCGTGGGGGTACTGGGCGGTTGGTACGCGAGCGGTTGTTGTGATTCCGGCGACGTTGGCAGCTGCATTCCCAGTGTTATTATTGACCATCAGTAGACTTGAGAGACAAACCATAATCCAGGCTTCCAAATGTGCTGACAGTGTCTGAGACCATGCGTTTCACAGACACGACATCTGTAACATTTCTCTCTAATGCAAGTGTCTGTACCGTATATCCTCGGGCTTTTATCAACGAAATTGTTTCGTCAATGCCCTCAATTTTGATGTCGGCCAGTGCAATAGCCCTGCATCCTGCCTGGGCATAGGCGAGACATAGTTCACGCCCGATTCCAGATCCTGTTATAATAAGTAGTCGTCCCTTTCATTGCGGTAACTTCGTTACGAACCTGCGCCTGTTACCAAAGCCACGCCATTCAGCGTTTTCACTTGAGCCGACATAGTAGCAATGATTCAAAATGAAATTGGAATAAAATAATGTTTCTTGGATGTTTTTCAACTACATATGTATATGTTGGAGATATATTACCTAACCAGTGTCCTTATGCTCGTTTGCCGCCCTCCCCCTATTCCGGGGCGGCTCGGAACTCTTCCGTGGAATTTGCATTCCGTGTCAACCACCTCCTAAATACTGAGGATGCCAGTTAGGAGAGATTCACTACCTAGGTAGCTACTCCATGTCTCTATTTATTGAACAATAGACCGCCTTAATCAAGACCGGTCCGAGATTTTCTCTTCTCATCCTTTGTCTTATTGGGAGAGTTGTGCAATTAGCCTGTTCCCACCTTTCGTGGCATTGTGAAAATCAACCTTGGAAATTTCGCTCCACCACTGGCAAAGTGAGAATTAGTCATGGCCAAAGCCATGATTGGCGATTTTCGTCGAATTAAAGACGGTTTCAAGTTACCAGGGGATAAGTTGGGTACATGATCCGAATGATCCGAATTTACTATGTATCCGTGCCTTTCTGCCCACCCAAACCGCTACCCGTTTTGGGTGCGCCCCTAATCCTCGTCTATTTCAATTCCTCGTCTCTTTTCTAAGGATAGCCTACAACTAGCCAATTCAACCACCCACCATGCCTAAAAATGCCGATTTTGACGAATCTCGCTTACAGGAGGCCTGCAAAGCGGTTATGACCCAGAAAAAGCCGAATATCGCGAAGATTGCGCGTGAATTCGGCGTGTCTCGCACTTCCCTGAACAGTCGCGTCAAAATCGCACGATCGCCCCTTACACCTACTAAATCGCTAAAAAACGCCCTACAGCTATACCAGGAGAAGGCCTTGATTGATTAGATAGTCAAAATGCATAGCTGGTATCTACCACCTACTGCAGGGGTTATACAGGCGTGGGCAAATCGCGCGATCGCGCGAGCGGGCAAGCCGGATAGGTAGGTTGGCAAGATATGGGCGTATCGCTTTGAAGCACGTCTACCAAAGCACCTAAACCTAGCCCTAGTGTAGCAGAAGACCAAGGAATCGAGGCGAATCTAAGCCGAAGATACAGGGTTTCTTCAACACTGGTATGACTAGCTAGAACGTCTCCTCCATAACGTTCCTGCACGGCTATCAGTGCCTTTCTGCCCACCCAAAGCGCTTCCCGCTTTGGGTGCGCCCGCAATCCTGGGTATTCCGCAATCCTGGGCATTTTGTAGAGAAATCGTCAAATTTACAACCAACTAGCTAATTATCAACAAAAAAAAGCTCTCCTGCCTGTCTAGCCGCTTCCT